CGCTCCTCCTGCTTGGGAACGTTAGTTCTGTGTTCAAATTCAAAGGGATTTGAGTCAGATCGCCTAGTAATTATTGTCCTCCTTCTGGCTTATTTTGCTGGCCATAACAACGTAACACTCTCTAACTACACACAAGTTGTAGCAAAAGGCTAGCTTTCACTTAGGTAAAACAGAGTAGTATTTCATTGTATACCATCACCTCTTTATCCACTCATCTGGTGTCAGACATGTTATTTTCATATCTTGGTTTTTGCTGTTTTGAATGAGATATGAAAATATCTTTTCCAATTAATGAATTGTTTTATGTTCTTGGGGTAGATGTCAAGGGTTAGAATCATTGGGTCATAATGGAAATTTTATTGCTTTGAGACATCTTCATACTGTTTCCATAGAGGCTGAAACAATTATATTCCTATCAACAGTGAACGAGGGTTCTTTTTATTTATTTATTTATTTATTTGTGAAACAGCATGAGATACAGTTGTAGACTTACAAATTTTTGTGCTTGGGTTTTAGTTATACAATGATCGAGTACCCATCTCTCCACCCCATTCCCCGCCTCCAATGCTCCCACTAGCCCTCCCCCCCCACTCCAGCCCCACCCCCCGCCCTGCCCCGCCTCTGTGGCAGGGTATTTCCTTTTGCTCTCTCTTTCCTTTAAGGGTATTGGGGTTTGCAATAGAGGTATTGAGTGGCCATCATGTTCGGTCTATAGTCTGCTTTCAGCATGCATCTTGCATCCCCACTGAATCCTCCAGACAGCTTTTTCTTGGTGCTCCCTCCTCTATCTGAGCTTCCTTTTCAATAGTGAATGAGGGTTCTTTCTCTCTGTATCCCCCTAATATTGACTATTCATGGCCATTTCGATATAGGTCATTCTCGATGATATCTCACTATTGTTTTGATTTGCATTGCCCTGATAATAGAGCTATTTAATCAAATCTCGACTATGCCTTCTTATGCAGAACAAACGGAATTAACTAATTCAAAAGTTATTTTTTTTATAAAATCAGAGAACACAATCAACTTTAGTTGTGTTAAGAAAGAACTGCACCGGGGCCAGAGCAATAGTACAGCGATTAGGGCATTTGCCTTGCACGTGGCCGACCCGGGTTGGATTCCTGGCATCCCATATGGTCCCCCAAGTACCGCCAGGAGTAATTCCTGAGTGCAGAGCCAGGAGTAACCTCTGAGCATCGCTGGTTGTGACCCCAAAAGAAAAAAACAACACCTCTTGTGATGGCTGGGCATTCAGAATTATGATTGACATAAAAGCAGTCGAGCTATGGGGGTAATGCATTTAATGAAAATATATCCACTCGATTTAATGGAACATTTTCTTCTCGGTGATTTTTAAAAATTGAATTAAAGAACTGTGATTTACAAAGCTATTGATCATTGAGTTTTAGATATAGTTTATTTCAACATCAATCCTACCTCCATCAGCCAGTTCCCCTCCATCAGTGTTCCTCTATTCCATCCCCACCCCCAGCCCCCACCTGTCTGGGCACATTACCAAGTTCCCGTGGTTGCAGCTACATCCCATATTTTCAGTGTTGTTGAGTCTTTATTTTGGACATATGCTAATATGCTTACTGTATCACCACTATTACTGAAACCCTGATGCCTGTTCACTTATTACTTCCTGTTCTCCTCTCCACCACTCCCCTCCCTGATTTCCTTTCTTTTTTTTTTATCCCTTCTCCTCTCTAACCATTGGGGTCACACAGGTGATTTGGGCATCCTTTTTTTTTCAAAAGTACATTTTCTCATCCAACATACTATATATCACAGATAAGTGAGATCATCCAGCGTGTCTTTCTTCTTCTGCCCTACTTCACTCAGTATGACATCTTCCAGTAACCTCCAGAGACACTGATTAACATAGAGAAACTGCTGGTGACTTTTCCTGGGTTCCTGAAGAGAGTAGTCAGTTCTCAACGACAGCTCTGCATGGTGTACGATCTTGAGTTTGGTGGCCAGCACCTTCTGCTCCCTTTAGCTGTCGTGTCCTTCTTAGCTCACTATCATCATTTATCAGAGCCTTACACTCTTCTCAGTACTCCATTCTGGTCTTTGAATATGATTAATCATGCAGAAGAAACTCAAAGTGACAGCACAGATTAAACGCACATTTCTTTTCTTTGCCATTGCTTAAACCAGACCAGCTTTCCCTTTTCAAAGTTGTCACGTTAAAAAATAAATCACGTGCATAATTTATCTGATTTTTTAAAAAGCTTCTTTCTTCTTTTTTTAGTGGGGGCTGGTAGAGTTTGGGCCACGCTTGGTTCTCCGATGTGGTAGAAGGGGTTTGCATCGCAAACAACGCAAGAGCCTTAACGCTTATACGCTCTCTGACCCTTATTTTTCCTTTCAACAAACCTGTTACATATTGTTAAGTAACTACTTTAAAAATTCCTCTTTTTTGAATTATTTTTTCTAAAGTTTCTTTTATTGAAATGTAAACCACTATTTTTGTTTTAAATTTAAAGTTATTTATATACATGTATATATGTATGTATATGTATAAATTTCTAAGCAATCAGATAATTGTACATCTATAATTAGCACAGAATTCTGACAAAGATAGGTTTTGCTAACTGTTCCATGGGCTGTGAACCATGTTGGGAAGCCTTTAGGTCATTCTCACATTGAGATAGTCCCAATCTGATGTCCAACATCATGTAGTGAGAACCAATGAACTTCTTATAAAATGTTACTGACTCCCAGTAATGGTGATTTCCCCCCCCCCTTTTTCTTTCAAGGGACCTGCACTGTCAGAGTAGTACAGTCTCATTTGATTGCAGTTGAATAATATGTGTGGCCACAAAGTGGTGTGCCTCGTGTGGCAGTTTGGTACTGGAAGTTACTTTGACCTTCACTGTCCAATTTGATTTTGGGTGGAGAGTGGTTGGGGCCACTTCTTCATCACTGAGAAGTTGGAGGCTTTCACAGTCTTGTTGAAACTGGACCGGCAGTCTTTAGTAGATCACTGTCATAAATTGCTGGTCCAGTAGTTTATAGTTTCTGGTTATAACCTTTGGTTATCACTTAACAGAGAGCCAGGAATTCCCCCAAATCTCATGTTTGGAGAGACCACAGCTTGTACCCAGTATTTCTAACCATTGTCACAACCATGTTCTTGCTCCTCAGATGCTTCAGACACACCACTTTGTTAGAGGCCCCACAAATATATTTTTGATAACTGTGTCTTGAGGAAAGCATGCTTTGGATCAGATATCATCTACTGGGTGAATAGAAGAGGATTACTAATTAGTTCCGCTGTGCAGTTTCTAGTGAGAGGTCATAAAAATATGCTCTAAAATACATATTTAAAACATCTCAAAGTTATTGTTTGATAACATGTAGAAATGTGCTTTCCTATTTGTGAAACCCTGGCTCACTTATTTTTATGTGAATGCTTATTCTGTGGGTCTAGCTGTTTGCACAGTTAATTTTAAAATACGGTACAGACTTAGATAAGAGCAAATGGGCCGTGTTGAATTAGTCTGAGGTCACTTTACCTGCAATTATAAAGGCTTTTAAACATTTTCTATGCATTCCTGTTACAAAGCCTTAATAACATAGAAAAAGCCATTAATATGATATAAAAGTCTTTAATATCAACACTCAGTGACTTAACTTATGAAAGCTTTATTTAGGACGAGTGATTTATAGTTTGTCACCGCTTTGTACATGTTTTACTTTTGTGTGTGCTATAAAATTGCACTTGATAGCCTGAATGATTTCACGAAATAATTCTTTAGAAGTAATTTTAAAAAATTCTAATTATTATCCTTTTAAGATTTGTTGGATATATAATTGATAAGTAATAATGTAAGATATTTAAGGCCAGAAAGATATTATTGTAGGTGAGGTGCTTGTCTTACATGCAGTTGATACCCAGCACCGAAACATGATCTCCTGAGCACTCCAGGAGCGATTCTTTAGCAGAGAGCCTTGAATAAGACCTGAGCACTACTGAGTGTGACCCTAAAACAAAATAAAACAAAAAATATTCAAAGTGTTTGTGATTATTTGTTATACATATATATATAATTTACTTATTTGTTTTTATGTGTGAAAAATTTCCACTGATCTAGTCAAACACAATCATCATTTCATGTCAATGTTTTGTTTGGGAATTCTACTTAATAAATTTTATTGTGCTATATAGTAATATAGCAACATTTTGGTAGCTACTTTTATTTTATTTATTTTATATATTTATATTTAGTTTTATAAATATTATAGTTTGTAAATTGAACACTCCCAAGACTTTTTATCTATAAGCATGTGAATTAGCATCTTAGTGTCAATATATCAGTTTTTAGCCCCCGGGTAAATAAGAGGAAAGGAAGAGTGATTATTTTGGTTGCTTCTGGAGTGTGACTGCATATAATGTTGAAGTTTCATGAATATGAGAATACTTTTTAATCAGTCAAAAAATACTTTCTCTGTTGAATTCATTCCATATCTGCCTGAGACCTATTCAATTATAGTTTCTAACCCTGATTTTAAGACGAAGAAGGAAGAAAGATAGGAATTGTTGATTCCCACCCTTCGCCCTCCCACTGCCCCAGGATGCCTGTCGATTGTAAATAGAACAGAGTTAGAAGTAAAAATAAAACCTTTTTAAATTAATGATAAATCATAATTACTTTGATGTTCCATATGACATTCCATATATGATCTTCCATTGATTTTTTTGTTGTTTGGGGGCCACTCATCTGTGTTCAGGACTTACCTGGTTTTGTGCTCAGGAAACACTCCTGGGCGTGCTCTTGGGACCATATACACTGATGGATCTCACCTGGGTCAGCTCTGTAAGCACCTTACCCACTGTACTATCTCTGCAGCCTATGACCATCCACTATTTAGAGATCCAGAACTACTCTAACCTCTGAGTAGAAAAGGAGAAATCAAAGATGAAGAGAAAAAAAAAGGAACGAAATGGGTTTGGTTCGGTGTCTATTTAAATCTGTCTCTTTCTTCTTCAGGAGAGAGTTACGTGTGTGGCTCAATCGAGCCATTCAAGAAATTGGAGTACACCAAGAATGTGAACCCCAATTGGTCAGTGAATGTCAAGACCACCTCTGCTTCTCGGGCTGTGTCCTCCCTGGCCACTGCGAAAGGGAGCCCTTCGGAGGTAAGGGAGAATAAGGATTTCATTCGACCCAAGCTGGTCACCATCATCAGAAGCGGGGTGAAGCCGCGCAAAGCTGTTCGAATTCTGCTGAACAAGAAAACTGCTCACTCCTTCGAGCAGGTTCTCACTGACATAACTGATGCCATCAAGCTGGATTCGGGAGTGGTGAAACGCCTGTACACTCTGGATGGGAAGCAGGTGAGGGGAGCGTCTACTCCTGACCCCCTAGGCGAGGACGAGGCAGTTTGGGGATTTCTGTGTCTCGCGGTAGGATTCTGAATTAGCTTCATATGAGGGAGTTGCATCATCTATGTAGTTGTTGACCTCAAAACAATCCAAATCGCTAATTAATCCTAATTGCATCCTTAGAAAGAAAAGTGAAAAAGCCCATCTCTGAAAGCGTAAATGATTACTTTCACATTTTCAGTTATTAATTGCTAAATGTCAATGGTACTTTTCAGCCATGGGTTTTCAATTTTGCACTTATTAGTTATTGCTTATAGCATGGAGCATAACTGGAATGTAGGTAAACTCTGACCAGAAGACAAAAATCTGTTTCTTTGACCTAACATTTTTTTTTCTTTTTGGGTCACACCTGGTGATGCACGGGGTTTACTTTGGGCTCTGCACTGAGGAATTACTCCTGGCAGTGCTCAGGGGACTATATGGGATACTGGGAATCAAACCCGGGTTGGCCATGGAAAGGCAAACTCCCTACCCACTGTACTATTGCTCCAGCCCCTGACCTAACTTTTATGCCAGTAACATTAGCAAGATTTTATAGTCTTTTAATTTAACTTTTACGTGTTTTGGTATTGGGGGCATGCCTAGTGGTGCTCAGGGCTTACTCCTGGCTCTGTGCTCAGGAATCATTCCTGGCAACTGGTATATTTCTAGAGTGCTATGTCTTTTATTAAAAACATAATTTCAGAATTGAAATAGAAGGGGGACTCTTTAATTATAGGAAGAACATAATGGGTGAACATTCTAATGTGTATTGCTCAAATAAATCTAAATGGTATCTTCCGTGAATTTCAGTAAACATTTGATAGACTCTGGATGAAAATAAATCAGTATGTGTACAATATGACTCGTTAGCCAATCATCAAGACTTTAGCAGTGCTTTTGTTTAATATTTATTAGAGCACAAATCTCTGCCTGAAAAATAGTTTACAATATGGATCTGTACAAATGTTTTATTTCGTTTTATTGGGTGAGGGTAGACTATAGCAGTGGTGCTCAGGGCCTATTCCTGGCTCTGTGCTTAAGAGTGATCCCTGGTGGTACTTTGGGGACCACCTGCTGCACTAGCTTACTAACCAGGGTCAGCTGAATTCAAGGCAAGCTCCTTAACCTCTGCACTATCTCTCTGCTTTCAAATGCTTGAAATAAATGATTTTGAGGATAATTGGAATAACTTATGTGGATATATGTTAAGCACTGAAACTAGGTTCAATTAGAAGGTTGATCTTATTTAATAGAAGACTCATTCAAGTCTTTGAAGGCCAACACATTCAAACTTTATGAGTTGGAAATTGATGCTAATGCTAAAAGAGTGTTAGTCATTAAAGAATTCTACCCTCTATCCCCTATTCTAGTTCTAGTTAGTTGTAGCAAAATGGTATCAATATATTGGTGATCAGAATGTCCATTGCTTATGAATTACTTATAGCTTATGAATTAAGACACGAATAACCTTGCAAGAATATATTTTACAAGAATATATTTATATAATAACATATTTATACAAGAATATATTTATACATCTTCACTAGTTCCCTTTGTTGTGAATTACCCAAGTATCTTGTGCTTCTGCATTTTTGTATATGGAGTTTTCTCTCGATGAGCATTTACCTGTGTATATAGAAAGTAAGATTTATGACCTGGGGCAACAACTCAATGGGCCAGACTGCATGCTTTTTTTTATGTAGCAGGCCTGGATTTAATCTCAAGAAGCATGGGGTTCTCCAAGTACCACTGTGAGTGACTTAGTGGTACAGTGACAAGTAGCCCCTGAATCCTACCGGAAGGAAGGAAGAAAGGAAGGAAGGAAGGAAGGAAGGAAGGAAGGAAGGAAGGGAATTCATCCTTATCAATCTTCCTGTTACCTATCCTTTTAGAATTTTGGAAGATTTAAATTGCTGTACTCTGAAACTGAAAAGCAGTGTTTTAATATTTTTGCTAAGTTCACCATCAACTGATCATACTTACTCCATCTTAGATGCTATGATGTTCTCATTGTTTCTTATTTTTAGGAATTTATCTATTATATATATTTTTACAATAACTGTTTTTGCTGTGGTTTACATGTAATTGATTCATCATAGTAGAAAAGAATCATAAGGTTGCTGCCAAAAGACTAAGATACAAATCATGGTCCAGAGATTATTTATGTTTTTAGCAAACTACTTAACTTTACTCAGTAACACATTATACTCAGTAACACATGATAACATAATTACTTTTGTTTCATAGGGTGCTTGTCTGATCAGCTATAACAATATGTGGAAGCAGTTTTAAGTTACAATGATTATTAGCTTTTTTGAGCCTTATAGTAAAAGTCTTGCATATGATTGTGCTTTAATCATCAGAACAGCTTGAATCTAACTCCCGTGTAACAGATTAGGGTACTAAGGCATAGAATTTGGTGGGGAGTGGGGCTGGGGGGTGGAGAAGACTTATCCAAGACCACACAGATCTGAATGGGGGAGGTTGCATTTGAACCTGTGTCTTTTCAGACCTGCTAGCAACTAATATATTGCATAGCCCTTATATTGAAGCACTAAACTGATGTAAATGCACTAAAATAATTTGCATAATCAGTTCTAGGGATATCATAAGAAAGATTCCTTCTCTATATATTTTTTCCTGCAGTCATTCTGCTGACTGCTGTATTCAGTTTTTTCTGAATACATTCAGTTGCCTGTTGTGGCATTATCTCTACTGTGTGGCATATTTTCTTCAGAGCACGAGTGGCAAAAAGCTGTAGAGGAATTGGATGATGAACTGGACAGAATATAAAGACTTTTTTTTTGCCAGGGTTCCCAGTGGGAACAAAGATACTTCCTCATGGACCCCAGGAGTCTTTAGAATTGTTCTGTTCAAAGAGAAATCTCCTCTCTTACACAGTTTGCTAGAGCAGCATTCATTGACAACCTTGGCGGAATCCAAGGCTCGATAAGCCTTTGAGAATAAATCACTGTGCAAGGCTTCATGTGGAGTTTTGTTTTGTCCTAGTAGGTGGCACCTTGCTATTGGCATTGGGGTCCACATGGTTACTAGTGGGACATCACCCTTATTCTACCTCTTTAAAACATGTTTGTTTGGGTGTTTTTTTTTTTTGTACAGAAGGATGGGGCTGGAGCAATAGCACAGCGGGTAGGGTGTTTGCCTTGCCTTGCACGCGGCTGACCTGGGTTCGATTCCTCCGTCCCTTTTGGAGGGCCTGGCCAGCTACCGAGAGTATCCCACCCTCATGGCAGAGCCTGCAAGCTCTCCGTGGCATATTCAATATGCCAAAACAGTAACAACAAGTCTCACATGGAGACACTACTGGTGCCCACTCAAGCAAATCGACGAACAACAAGAGGACAGTGCTACAATGCTATATAAGGATGGAGAAATATTATAGTGGGTAGGGCACTTACCTTGCACGATTCCTGGCAAACTGTGTGATGACATGAGCCTGCCAGAAGTGAACCCTGAGTACTCCTAGCTGTGGCCCATAAACAAAACAAAACAAAATAAAACAAGTGTACAGGAGAACTTGTGTGTCCAGAATAGACAGCAGAGAAATCAATGCCTTATAGGTTTAGGAAGTAAGTTATGTTTGTGTTGAAGAAAATAGAATTGCAAAAAAATTTTCTAGTGTCAGTGCTTTGAGTAAATTAGTAGGAAGCAAGACATATGAGCAGAAATGCCTTTTCAGCTGGTCTCCAGGGAGCTGGCAGCTTTGTCCATGGGATGGAAACCAGGAAATCTGGAGTTGTGACAGTGAAACTGTCTGCTAACCCAAAGATGGACACTTATTCCTGTCACACCACGGTTTAGTCACCTCCTGGGTTTGCTGTAAGTTCTACAATTAGCAGGACAGTGGTGGGGGCGATAAGCCCCTGAGATAATGAACTCAGCATACCAGAAATGCTGCACCATCTTGAAGATATTTTGCAGAAAGCTGCATTTTCCCCAGGCAACTGTGGCAACCCCTGAGCACAGATTGGGAGCAAGCCCTTTCTGAGGCTTTGGACTTCATTATTTATTCAGTCAGTGGCATCGAAGATTCAGTGAAAAGATGGCATAATCGGGCCTTCTTGCACCCAAATATGCCTTTCAGTTGTAATTAGGCACTTGCCATGCAATTAGGCACTTTGCTGGCATGGTGGAGAGGTCAAGGAATTGCTTCCTGCATCTTTTTTTCAGTGCTGCATTATTGTCTGGGTCATGATTAAGAGCCTTCAGAGGAAAGTGGATTTGCTCTAGCTGGAGGTTAGGATCCTAACCTAGGACCCTAAAGTCATGTCCCTTTCCTTTGGATCTGAGGGAGGTTTTGAAGGATGATAATGTTTTTCTCTGGTTCCAGTCCAGGCTATACATGTTGGAAATTTTTTGTGGGTCGTTTACTTAGCCTGTCAGGCTCCTGAAGAGGTCATTTGAGTGTGACTTTCTTTTAGGTGGCTAAACTAAGCCCTAAAGAAACAAGATTTGATGTACCTGTATTTCTCCTTCTTTTTATGGAACAGCTAATCTGGGTGTCTTGAACTGCTAAATCTTCTAAATCTGTGATTTCAATCCTCCCTTAGAAACATAAAAAACAGCAAGACTTAGAACAACTGTTACTGAAGCGGACAATTTATTCTGTGAAATTCTTTGATAAGGCGCTTTTCAATGATCTCCCTTTCCCCAATGAAATGTAATAACAGTAAAGCAGACTGCCCTTTAAGCAAAAAGAAAAAAATGCTCATTCCCATCCTATTACTCTTTGACGTTGGAGCTCTATAGAAAATAGGAGCATTCTTTAGTGGCAGAATAGGGATTTTTTTTTATCCTTTCGGCATTTCACAAAGCTCATATACTTTGTCAAACCTAGTACCGGGGCCGGAACAATAGTACAGTTGTAGAGCGTTTGTCTTGCACGAGGCTGATCTGGGTTTGGTCCCAGACATTCCATAAGGTACCAAGAACACTGCCTTGAGTAATTA